GAGAAAAAGGAGGGAGAATGAGACAAAAAGGGAGAAAAGAGTGGAGGAGAGTGAGCCGGTCTATTGGGACCTGCACAGTAGGGACTGGCAGGTCCCAACTGTGACCTCATCCCTCCTAGAATAAGGGAGGGCAATCCGGATTGAAGAGATATGGCCCTTAGGGCCATATCTCAAAAAAATTTGAATTAAAAAGCAGAAAATGAGAGAAAATCCAAAAAGGAAGTGGCCGGTTTTCTTTTGGGCCATGGATTTGAGATCAGATCTCATGGTAGAGACGAACGAGCCGTTTTTTGTGGGCCAGCTCAAAACGGCTAGCTCCGGAATGAGGTGGCAGCCCAAAATGGAAAGAAACAAAAGAGGGAAAATGACAAAACAGTGCATTTGGCCCAAAAAGAGAGCCAGATGCACCAAAAGTTGAAAAACTGGACTTAGGGGCTCAAAATTGAAGCAAGGGCTACTAGGGGGTAGCTCGGATTATTGCTCGCCTTGAATCTCAGCCAGATCCAAGGCTGGAAATGTGCCGCCACATGGAAAAATGCTCCGGCCTACTCAAAAGAGGCCGAAACTTAAAAAAATCGAGAAAAAGGTCCACACGGCCTTTCTCTTTCACGTAAAAATGCCCCTTGGGCACTAGAACYCAAGGGGGCAGCATTTGTGAGGCAAAAAGGAGGCCGGAGTAGGCCAAGAGGCCATCGAGTTGGTACCAATCACTCGGACTGCATGTACTTGGCCAAAATGAGGCCCAGGTACCTCCAGGAGGGCCTAGTAAGGGAATTTTGCCTTGGGGGTACCTCGATTCACCTCAAGGCTCATAGGGAGGCTCATGGGCAGGCGGGACTGTTGGTTTCAGCCATCATACGCTGAGGATGCAGTCCGCCACTCTCACATTTGCATGAGGAGTGCCCATGCTGCCCAAGTGAGCTCACAGGAGCACCTTTGCACTTGGAGTGAGGAGGGAGGAGCCCATGCTAGTGGGTGAGCTTAGAGGAGACTAGGAGGTAGTAGGGAGGATTCTAGAGGATAGTGATGGTGGGAGGGACACTTGGGAGGTGATCCGCCATATCCCTCTTGGATGTAGGAGAGAAGGAGAGGCTAGAGGAGCCCCATTAGCCCTCCCAAAGGGGAGGACTCCATAGCCATAGCTGGGGGAGCTTGCCATAGCCTGAGAGAGAGCAAGGAAGGAGGAGAGAAGGGCTTGGAGAAGAAGGAAGCCATAACCAAGAGAGGATTGTACAAGGAGTGGAAGCTTCATCAAGAGGACACCAACATCAAGGAATCAACAAGGTGAGAAGAAGGAAGAGACTTCTTCACCTTCATCTTCTTTTTCTTCTTCTTCCTCTTCTTCTTCTTTGTCTTCTTCTTCTTCTTCTTCTTCTTCCTCTTCTTCTCCTTCTTCCTCTCCTCCTTCTTCCTCTTCTTCATCCTCACTCCCTCCTTCTTCCTTCTCTTTTCTCCTCCTTCATCTCCTCTTTCCCTCTCTTCACTTTCATTCTCTTTGTCTTCTTCCTCTTCTTCTCCATCTCCATCTCCCTCATCTCTCTCCCCTTCTCCTCCATCTTCTCTTACTTCACCTTCTCTCTTCCATGGGCTACTCAAACTCTCCTCTTTCACTTATACACTAGAGGGTATTACTTCGATTCTTTCCCAGATGCTTCTTGATGCAATCTTGGTGATTTGGGCTTTCCAAACTTGTGATTTTCACACTCACACTAGTAGGTAGTATAACGCTTCACCCATGGATGCTTCTTGATGTAATCTTGGTGATTTGGGCTCTCCAAACTTGTGATTTTCACACTCACACTAGTAGGTAGTATAGCGCTTCACCCATGGATGCTTCTTGAT